ATATTTGAGTCTTGTTTTGAAAGTTTTGAGGAAAGGATGTAGCAAGTGAAATTACTTTGAAAATTAAGGAAAGCTATACCTATTCAAAGGCTAAAGAAAATCAAAACATTAAGAGCAAGGGAATAATAACTACATGATAAAATGTAACTGTTGTGTAAGAAGACTGATTATATCTAGGTATATTGCTGCAGTGCAGGTTTTTAGCATTTCTTCTAACCACTGATCATACAAACATTCAATTCACTGTTAACAGATGGGTAGTTTTTTTTGTTTTGTTTTTGTTAATAGGGCGGTGAAGTCTTTGTTTTTAGGGATTTATGTAAGTTAATTTATGTAAATGAGAGTATTTCCCTGTTTTAATCTACTATTGTTTGTTAAATGTTTATTATTTCTTTTATCTGCTTACAGCTTCAGAACTAGCAAAAACACCGAGAAAAAGTGTTGCACTGAATTTGAAGAATGATCCTGAAATCACGATAAACAATCCTCAAAGTAGCAAGGGTAAAGTTTTACCTTAGATCTTTGAAGCGTTTTCATAGTTGCTTCAAGTTATAGTATATTTCTTTGTTTTTCTTTTCTAATTGTATCTATATATATTTTCTTCTTTTCTATTTTGAAAATTAAATGTCAGTAAAATGTGCTGTCAGTTCTCTAATCTATCTGCCTTTGTATACCCATATTTAACTGTCAATGAAAGGGGGAAATATTTGTGTTAAAGTACAAATTGAGAGGTCCAGTTAAGAACAGAGATAAACTCTAGTGTTACTTTCTTGAATTTTTAGCTAAATAGTCATGGAAGACTTGCTTTTGTAAAAAATATTTGAAATAAGATTTTGAGGGTTTAGAAATTTTATAGAGGGTTGTGGAGCAGTTGTTTTTGAATGACCTGTTCCAACGAAGTTAAACCAGTGTACTTACTAAATAATGAGCAATCAGGGTCTATTTTTAATTTTTTTTATTATGTGACTGATACAGAAGTGCATCACTAATTACTAATCGAGTAACATGAAATTAATAGCAACAATTCAGGTTCTAGAAGAAATGCAGTTACTTGAGAATTTGGCTTTTGGGTAGAAACTGCAACCTTGCTTTTAGTGAAACTAGAATGTGATGAAAAGTGAAGTGTTGTGTTTGATAACTTTCCTTCTATTCTTTAGAACATTCTGCTTCAGCTGAAGTTCAGTTGAAGGTAAGCAATTGAAAACCTTAGTATTACAAAATAGAACATGGTAAGAAAATATCCATTTTGTCATAATTTATATAGTGCTTTGCAGTTTACAGGATTTGCCAATACCTAACTTATGAATGAACAATCTGAGGTTCTGAAGAGGTAAAGTGATTTTTCAAGTTCGCTCTGTTAGGAAGGAGAAAAGCTAGAAAATGAAGTCAGGTATTCTGGACCCAATTGTGGTGTTTATTCTGTGCAGAACTATCCCTGGGTTTTTTCAACTTAATAGAACTGGCCTGGAAATTTTATGGGTTTTGTTTTGCTTTACTTTTACTTAGAATGTTCTGTTGTTTCTTGGGCTATTGATCCCAAGATCCATTAACCTTTTCATTAATCCTTTTGTAATTTTTATTTCAAAACTAAGTTGGGTTCAGCAGATTTAGCCCAGAGAAGCGGAACGATTTTTATCCTTGTCTTGATTTTTGTTGTTGTTGTTTTTTAAATGTTATGCTCATCAAGTGATCTTGCCTGGATGTGGGCTGAACCCAGAAGGGCATAGACAAATGTAGGATATTGACTGTGTGAATGGTAAGTGTGTCCAGGCCTAGGTAGGAAGGGATTTAGACATGCCTGCACTTTCCTAAGTATCCCTTAGTTAGTAATGTGAGTATCGACACTCCAGCCCATGGCTACAGCCTGTGTAGGAATGTCCTATTTAGACAAATTGTGTCAAGCCTCCTTTGTCTTTAGTAGTGATTTTTCTCTGTATTAATGTCATAAAAAAATAAAGTTTGTTTCCATAATTGATTTAAGAATTTAGATATACTTGTATGTTCTGTGGTTCACAAGAAATCAGAGGATCTTGTTGATTCCCTCAAGAGAATGTCATGAATGAAACTAGTTGATCAAACAACTCCTAGATGTCTACCACAAAAGCAGACATCATCACTGTGGCAGAATTTTAGTGCACTGTCTTGAAGGGGGAGTTCGGGAAAGAATATGCATAGGGTTGAGGATCTATGTATAGGGTTGAGGATCTGAACTCAAAGATCTTAAGCTGTGTCTTTAAAGATAAAATTTTGATCAGTTATTAGACAAAGTTCATGAATTCATTTTAGGATTGGTAGACACTAATCTGATTCTTGATAAGTAAACTTGTGTGTAGCCAAGCTGTTTGTCCTTTGAGTAATCTGTTGTCCTTATAGAAAAACAGGCTGCCCAAATGAGCAAACTATCAAGATAAATTAGTTTGAAGAAGTTTCTGTAGCAAACAGTGAAGTTACTTATTAGCTCATAGCATTTTCTTTGAGTGAATATTCTGAAACAGTTTTTGACACTTGTGTTCTCAGACCTGATAATTAAGTAATATGGATACAGGTTGTCTTAATTCTCAATGTTGATGTTTGTTTAGTAGGATATAACCTGCAGTTTTAAAATGAAATAGAAAAGTTTCTATTTTGTATTATCTCATCAAGATTTGTTTCAGTTCTGTATGTACATGTGTACTGGATCAGATGGCAAAATATAAAAACAAATTTTGAGGGTTTAGATCAAAAAGTTTGAAGTGTACTATATATTATAAACCTTACTAGGATCAACTCAGTTACTAGATTACTGTGTCTAATATCCCAAATCAAAATGTATTAACATTTTTAATTAGTACAAACAACCTAAAGAGACCCCAGGCTTAAAGTTTTCTGTCACATTTTTTTATTACAAAAAAAAAAAAAAAAAAACCTACCACAAGATACTTTATCTCTTTCTCTGTGTACATTTTAATATGCTAGAAATACAAAGGTATTCAAGTTTATATACTGTGGAAAAAAGAAAAAACAGACTTTATACTTCTGTGAACTATTTAAAAACAGAAGTAAAAAGTATAAATCTGTTTATCAGTGTATAGTGTTATCTTTTAAAAAATAAAAGCCTTTTAATCTAATAGGTTAAAAAGCTGATGTATTTATGATTTTCCTTTGCATAATAATAAATGTACATGTATATATGTTTACAAATGCCTGAAATAAATAAACAAATCATTCTTGGAATTCTTAGGCACTTGTATTGTTTTCATAATTTTCCCCCCCAACATTCACTTGTCATTATCTTCTAGAAACTAGACTCATCCAGTACTAAATGTGTTTTCCTTTTCTTGCTTCTTTTACTTAGGTCCATCATTTATTTCCATATTGTCATTATTATTTGACTATTTAAATTATCATGATTTTTTATTTTTAAACAGAACAATGACAAAAGTGAATTTCTGCCAACAGCATCGCGGGGTTTAAGGAAAAGATTAATGGGTATGTAATGTTATTTATTTATTTTTTTAAGGATTTGATTATGTATACAAGAACTGGGATGTAGGCCAGAGCTGTGGAGGGTGAGAGGTTTCACCAGAGACAAGAGTGGGGAGCAGAACAGGCAGATGGACAAAGTACTGCTGAGGGGAGCAGCGGGTGAAACAGGAGAGGTCTGCTGGGCCATTTGGGTCACCTCCCTGGCCAGGACCAAACTCATTTTGAAATGGCTGTAGGTAGCTTGATAGTGCTAAGGCTTTAACCCCTTGTACTACAAGGGAGGCCCAGTATGTAATTTAATACTGAGTTTTTATAAGAAGCAGTATCTGTCAACATACAATAGTGATTGAATATATATTCTAGTCTTAGACTGTATTTTTCTTCATATCCTCAACTGTATATTCCTTAAGAGTGAGGACTGTATCTTATATTTTTAATTTCAACACTTGGCACTATATCTTTTATCTTACAGACAGTGGATTTATTCAAGTTAATTATGTCTCTCCAGTAAACTAGTCTTTTAGTTAATTTGTTTTGAGACAGTTTGGATGTGGTTCTTTTAGCTTATTTAGAAATTTTACAATGAATTCTAAATACCCATTATAGTGAATGCTATTCAAAGCCAAGTAAACATTCATGCATCAGTGCCTGCTAGAAAATTTAAAATGGTTTTACTTTTTTAAAAACTAAATTTGAGACAGATGACTTATAGAGCTTTACATTTCAGAAAATGTCTGTTTCTTTCTTGGGGTTGAGTCCTTGACAGTATTAACTAACTGCAAAATTTATACTGTAGCCCTTTCTTTTCAAGTTGTAGATTTCATAGGGCCATTCGTTGATACTACTATTGTGAGCATTATAAAAATAGTAATGCTGAGTGGCTGGGTGTCTTTGTGGCAGTAAAAGATGGTATCCCATGTCCTTCTTATCACAGACATAGAGTACAGAATGACTTCTGTGACATGAAGCGGTCACTAGAAGTAAAGTGTGTTCCTTCCTTAAGTGAGGATAATTGTACCCATACTTTTCCAGCAGGTCTTTCTGAGTTTTATCTGTCAAAAGGTTACATGGCCAACTCCAGTTGCAAAGGAAGAGTTGTAAACACCAGTATCTAGCAGAGAAAAAGACCATTACCATGGTTATTTGTCCCATACAGACAGGGACATTGCACATTAGCAAAATTTGAGTCCTGTCAGCAAGGTATACGGAAAGAGAATGGTGTTAGATATGATTGACAGTTTCTGCTACAGTTCCTGTATGAGGCATTCACTATTAGTTGCTTTACATATATTTCAGTGTAATCTTCACAGTGACTTGTTAGATTAGACATAATCAGCTTTAATTGATAAAAGAGACCCGGTGCTCAGGGAACTTACATAACTAGTTCTGGTGAAATCATGAACAAGTAGTGACAAAATCAGAAGTCATATTCTTTCATCAGTCCCCATATTCTGTTATCTCATAATGCCTCCTGTCAAACTGTCATCTTCCCAATTGCTTTTCCCTTCACAGTTACAAGGTCTCATTCTGACAGTGAGAGTGAATATTCTACTTCCAATTCAGAGGATGATGAAGAGGCTGCACAAGAAGATGAGGACACCAGTGAAGTCAGATTGAGCAAAAAGATGCAAGCTCATAATCAAATAGTTTCAGCTTCCACTTGCAAAGAAACACCTTGTAAGAAAATAAAAAGAGATAAAACAGTAAGTGAAGAGAGAGACTTTGACCTTAAAGAAAAGTTATGTAGTATCTCAAAGACAAACTACCCTGGGAGAAGAGTTCTGACCTGGACCCGTTCACCCCTCCTTAAGCAACCTGGGTGTCTCCCGCTCCCGGGAGGTCTCCATATTGATGCTAAGCTTAGTGCTGAGAAGAGCTCTGAATGGAAGGATTGCATAATTATTTTTCTTGACTTTATTTTCTTGAGTATTTTCCCCTCATTTTCACAGTTGTTCAGGTGTTCCTGGTGTTGCTGTGATTGTGTGAGGAAAATCAAAGTCTGTAACATCTTTTTAAAAACCTAAGAAGATATATGAAACTTACAAATCATTTTTCTGAATAGAAAAATTTTACTTCACTCTAGTGAAGATTTTACTTCACTCTAGTCACTTCTTTAAGTTTATGATCCTAAGTTACTTATTTTTATTATTAGAATTAAACTTGCTTGGTCTTTGTCTGTATTTTTGCTTCAAAAATAAAATACTGATTACCAAATAAAGAATTTCCCGTATTCTATTATATGCCACACTTACTGTCTAGTTTAAAACAAGTATGTGAAACTAAGAATTAATTTTGTTCTCTCCACTTTCAGAGTGACTTAGTAGAAGAATATTTTGAAGCTCACAGCAGCTCAAAAGTTTTAACTTCTGACAGAACACTGCAGAAGCTAAAGAGGGCTAAACTGGATCAGGTATGTTGCAAGTAGTTTTACCTCTAAATTTTTCTTATTGTGAGCCAAAAATTACTTTGTTTGAAAGGTAAGTGTGCATAATCAGAATTATTGTCCTGATTAAATGAAGTGCAAATAGATGTAAAATAACTCTTACATACTTTATTTTACTTATATAAATAGTAAATGATTCACTCGATCAAAATTGTTTGACTTACTATAAGTATACATTTTTTCTTTATCAGATATCAAGGTCATCTTTAACAAAGATGATGAAAGTCACATTCCATTAATGACCTATACTAACCTTTACTCCTAAGAAATATTCTTAATTTGGATTGATTTGATGTACATGGTTTGAGAATGATTATATTTCCTTCCTCTTTTTTTTTTTTTGTAGGAAACTTTGCATAACTTACTAAGCAAGGTTTCACCTTCCTTTTCTGCTGAAAGAAAACAACTAAATCAACAACATGAACAATTATTTCATAAATGGATGTTGCAGTTACAGTAAGTACTGTTCTCATTATGAACCCTTGTAAAATAAAGAATAATATGTATTGACATGTGTTAAAAATAGATGTTCTTCTGATTATATGCCTAAAATGTAGAAAGTCATATGACTCATCTTAGGAAAATTTTTCAAAAATTTTTTTCTACATAAAATCTGTCTTTTTCTAATTTTAACCAGATGTGAAAGCCATTGATAAAATGTTATTACTCAAAAAAATCTGAAAATTATGGAATTATACTTTAGTTTGACCCTTGGTGCTTAGGGTTCTGGGTCATCTATTCATGTTTTGGCGTTGGTCACAGGAATCACTTCCATACCTGTATCTCCAGCCCAGTCTCACTTTCCCACAGCAGGCACAGATATCTGGATATATATTGGAGGTCTTCATGTGGATGCGACCTAGGAAAATTCAGTGTACATGAATTTTATCTTAAACCCAACATCCCCTCCTTCCCCACTGCTCCACATAGTGAATATCGTCTTACTCAAGTAGTTGCCTAGACCAAAAAGCAGTTATTTTGAAATATTCCTTTCTCCTTACTTTCCACATCAAGTCACTCCAAATCCTCTTGATTCATTTTCAGCCTTTTTTCTTCAATTAGGTTTTTCCCGTGGCACCTACTAAGTATGCTGTCCTTGGCCGTTTTGGCCTTCCTTCCTGTCCGTTCTTCACGCACAGCCACTGTGATCCTTATAAAAAGATGATGCTACTCTCCTACTTAAGACCTTCCAGTTAACACCTGACTGGTTACTTTTAAATACTCATTGTCCTTAGAATAAAATGTGATGTCTTAATAAGCCCTTTGTGACATGGCCCCTGCTTACTTTAAAGTTTAATCTGTCATTAAAAATGCTTCAGTCTGTAAGACTTTTGTTTGTGTACACCTACATCTTCTCTGTTACTTGCAGGCACCTGTCACTTGAAAGATATTAGGAACTATAAAGAAAACTATGGAAGTTGGAACTATAAGCTTGGTGTACAGATGATAAAATTGTGCTTTGACCTGGTTAAGTTGGGAATCAGTATAGCTTTTTCAGCCATCCCAGTTCTTCCTCTGTGCTTTTTTTTTTTTTTGAGAAAGCACATAAGCATACATTTTACAACTTCCTCTATTCTTTATAAGCTTTAAATTGAAATAACTGATTTAGGCCCTCCCTGGTGGTGCAGCGGGTTAAAGCACTGCACTGAGAAGCTAAAGCCACTTGCACATGAGTTCGATCCCTGCCTGCCCCGGAGGTGACCACATGGCGTGGCAGACCTCTCCTGACCCGCCCGCTGCTCCCCTCAGCAGTGTACTTCTTAGATCTGCCTGTTCTGCTCCCCACTCTGTCTCTGGTGAAGCCTCTCGCCGCCCCTGAGCCTCTGGCCTGTACCCCAGTTCTGTATGCATAAATAAATAAATCTTAAAAAAAAAACTGATTTAATTATAAAATTTCCAGTAAGATATACTGAACTTTAATTTCATGAATACTGTTTCTTAACAGCCTGGGTTTCAACATTGTGCTTTATGGTTTGGGTTCGAAGAGAGAGTTATTAGAAAGGTTTCGAACCACCATGCTGCAAGATTCCATTCATATTGTCATCAATGGCTTCTTTCCTGGAATCAGTGTGAAATCAGTAAGTTTCAAAAATGTTAAAAGAAACATTAGTCCCTGCCAATCCATATCCTCACATTAATGAGGATGCTACTTCCCAGTCGGGAGCATTTCAGTTGAAAGAATTTTTACTTTTCGGTCTATCCTAGTAGGATTGTGTGATGCTTAAGATCATATGTTTGAACTCAGAGGGTTTCAGCTTTGAATGCTTTTATTTGAATTTCCTAATTTGTGACTGATAGTGTATCATACCTTAGGTAAATGGTGGTTTTATTTATTACACCAAACACCAATCATAGTTCTCTGAAGCAAGGATTAAAATTGAAATTACTTCAGTTTTACTATGCTTCTGTTGTCTTTTTGCTATTCTTATAACAAAATAAATTGTAGTTTTTAATGCATCATAACAGATAATTTTTACTCCAAATGCTCGTATTTATTTATCACTTGGTAATTAATCTAAATCATTTGTATGCTAAATATTAACCAATATATTATGCCTTTTAAAGTCCTTAATGTTTGTTTCCTGTTTCCTTTGATAAATTCATAGTTTTCTAATGTTGCTCATATGAGGGCAGGAGTGGGGTTGTTTGCTGACCGCTTATATTTTTGCTATTTTTCCTGCTTCCTTTTAGCTACTTCATGCAAAAATAAATAAATAAATAAATCAGATATCATTTAAGTACTAATAGAATTTTTAAAAGTGGCTTTTCAGACTTGGTGGGAAATCCAAATTCCTTTTAATTTGTAAAAAGGCTTAATTTGCTAGCTTTATTTTTCCTTATGTCAGAATGAGTTATCATCAATGTACTTCTTCCACTTTTATGACATAGATCCTAAATTCTATAACAGAAGAAGTCCTCGATCATATGGGTACTTTCCGCAGTATACTGGATCAGCTAGACTGGATAATAAACAAATTTAAGGAAGGTATGTGAAGTTGATGCAATGACTTAGGGTGAAGCTAAGCACACTCTTCTGTTTATTCCTGTGATAGTATATGTAAAAATGAGGATATTTTAATACTGATTTTGATTTCCTAAAACATGTGTGCTGCCTTCTTCTAAGAACTTTTTCTGTGAACTTGACTTACTTAACAGGAAAGAATTACTCATACTACCTTGAATTTGTTTAGCCAAAGGTTCAAATTCAGAATGATTTACAGATTTTGTATTGCTAGTGTGAAGTGCCATCCCATTGCCTGATGTGTCTTTGATATCTTTGTATTGTTTAATATTTTTAAAACGAATTCTTACCTCTTTACAGTGAGTAACAGTATCACTGTACATAAATAATTTCATATACTAAAATCTATAATCTCATACAATGTTTTGGTCATATAAGCATTTTAGAAAATTAGATATAAAATTATTTAGGCTTGCAACAGTCATTTCATCAGAAGCTGCAACTTAAAAGGAGTAATTGGTAATGCTTAGTTGATTCAATGGATAATTTTGATATTTGTTCATTGAAATAGGTGCCATTTTATTTAAATCTATATAGTATGTATTATATAGTATGTAATATATATACATGTTAATATTGGCACAAGCATATATTTTATATATATTATATAAAAATATTAAATAATATAATTTAATAGATATTTTTACATATATTTTAAATTAGGATCGTATATAATTATATAGAGAAATATAGTTTATTATGTAATTATAACTTATGTTTATAATGAACACATGTTTTATATTACAAATATAGTGTTTTTAAATATAAATTATGTGCTATATACAATTTAAATCTATTGACTGGTGGATTCTGAAATTCAAGGAAACTTGGATTTTTAAAATGTGTCATCTCCAAATCTGTCGAAACTTGGATTTTTAAAATATGTCATCTCCAAATCTGTTGCTATATTATCTCTTGTCCTGCTATCTCCCAATGGAAGAGAAATTTGCTTTTTCTCTCTAAAAGACTCGTCCTTTATCATGAATACCAAATGTTTGCTTGCTTCTTACCAACTTTAGGAGACCTGCTAGTGACTCGTTTTCATTGTAGTCATATTTACAGCACTACCTGTGATTACAGTGCAGTCAGTATAATTTTCTTTATTCTCTTTTCAATACTTTTAAACATGTGTGAAACCTCTCCCATTTTAAGAAAAAAGTTAGTTCACCATTCTCTATTTCAATATGAGTTGTTTTCACATCCTCTGCCTTCTTTTTACCAGTTTCCCCCTCTAATCTTCTCTGCTACCTGAACAGTATGCTTGAGCATGACTTTGAATTTCCTTCTTGTTGTTTGATGATGTTGAGAGCTCAGTCTCTAGATTTTCTGTCATTGACATTTATGATATTTCTCTGACCTTCCTAGTTCCTTGAGCAATATCCTAAATTCTCCCCTCCCTTTTTTGGTTTTCCTTGGCTTTTAACAGGGTTTTCCACATTTCCTCTTTCTCTTCTAGTTTGTGCGTGCATGTGTGTGTGTGTGAGAGAGAGAGAGAGAGAGAGAGAGAGATTCCACCTTGCAATTCAACATGTACAGATTCACCTTCACTTCAGTAAGCATTGTGCCTCATTTCCTGAGCTTTGTTACAGCTGCTTTCTTTGTGGTCTGATTCATACTTCAGTTAAGTCACTGATCACTCCAGTCCCTGCTTATTTCCAATGAATATCTGTTTATTGTTAGGATTTTAATATTTTATGAGTAACTGACTTTCTTTCAAATAATTTGCATGCCCTTAAGTAGTAGTTATTTTGTTCTGTACTATCATGACATATTTTTTTAACACATAGCCGTTGTGTGTGATAGGGACTTCATAAATACTTATTAAAAAATAATGGAATTTTTTCTTTTTAGATTCTTCTTTAGAGCTCTTTCTTCTCATTCACAATTTGGATAGCCAAACATTGAGAGGAGACAAAAACCAGCAGATTATTGGACAGTTGTCATCTTTACGTAACATATACCTTATAACATCTATTGATCACCTAAATGCTCCTCTCAGTAAGTTAAATATTGCTATTTTTCATTCTTGAGATATCAGTCTTACAAAATGTTCTTGATGTTGAAAGCCACAATATTTTTATTGTTTTTCAGCATTGCATGCATTTTATGCATTTAATTAGAGACTGATAACTTTCCTCTGTTGCATGTTTAAAGAAAGACACAGGTTGCCAAAAATACAGGTGATCACATACTAATTTAGAACCTAATTATTCAAAATAAAAATATAGATTGTTTTGCACCTCAATTTTCTTTTTTTTTCTTTTAAAGATTTGTTTATTTATGCATACAAGAAGTGGGGTATAGGCCAGAGCTGTTGGGGGTGAGAGGATTCAGTAGAGACAGTAGGGAGCAGAAAAGGCAGATCTACTGAAACACTGCTGGGGGGAGCAGTGGGTGAGATAGGAGAGGTCTGCTGTACCATGTGGGTCAGCTCCCTGGCCAGGGAACACACTCATTCTGTAGTGGCTGCAGAATGCTTCAATCTGCTGCACTTTATCTTGTTGTGCCAGCACGGAGGGCCCCTTCCACCTCAATTTTCGTGAAGGAGATGAAGACCAACTATTTTTTGGTCTCTTTCAACTTTTTGTGTTATTGCAACATTTATTTTATGCATTTAATTAGACATTGATAATTTTATAGAAAAGGTTAAATTGTTGCTTTTTTAAAAGAGTGCTTTAGTGCTATGTGTTTTGACTTATATTTAATATACAAATAGTCAGATATTGATTGACAATGAAATTAGACTTTGAGCTACTGATTTGGATGGGAAGTGACAAAAATGAAGGAATTGAGGATTCATTTTTTACCTAATGTTTCCTCATTCTTTTCTAGAGTGGAATCTTAGTAATGTGACAATATGAAAATAACTGGTAATTCTTTTTTTCTTTGATCATATGTTCTAGTGTGGGATCATGCAAAGCAGAGTCTTTATAACTGGCTCTGGTATGAAACTACTACATATAGTCCTTATACTGAAGAAACCTCCTATGAGAATTCTCTTCTGGTTAAGCAATCTGGATCCCTACCACTTAGTTCCCTTATTCATGTCTTACGAAGCCTTACCCCTAATGCAAGGTAAGAATGAAAACTAGTTTTTTTGAAGAAAATAAACTACACTTTTAAAGATATGCACACTTAGGTTTTAATGGTACTACTCAAGTTCCTACTTAGTTTGAAATATTAAGAGAAATAATAGTAGCAGTAATTGTGAGTACTAGGCTTTGCAGTAGCATAACGTTTGAGCTTCGCAGCTTATACATTTTAAACATGTATTATGTCTCCAGTGAATCCCTTTCAGCAGCCTAACCAGAAGGCATATCTGAATTAATAAAAGCTAAGAAAATCTGGACAATGCCACAGCATAAGCCAGAAAAATTGCATTAGAATTAACTAAATACAGGGCCCTCCCTGGTGGCACAATGGTTTAAAGCGCAGCACTATGAAGCTCTCTGTAGTCACTTAAGCACGAGTTCAATCCCCACCCAGGGAGCTGACCCATATGGCGCAGCAGACCTCTCCTGTCTTGCTCTGTCTCTGGTGAGGCCTCTCACCCCCCACACCTAGCCTGTGCCCCAGTTCCTTATGCATAAATTAAAAAAAAATCTTAATTTAAAAAAATGGGGGCAAACCTTGCTGAAAATAGGTAATTAATATTTGAAGAGGTAGAGAAATATTATGTTCTTGGAGGAGTGGTCTGAATATTACAAAGGTATCAAGATATATTAGAGACATTATTTAATCAAAAAATATTTTTTGTGTGCTTTACATTTGAGAGAAAATTTAAAGTTTATTAAATAAGCAGGTGAGACTAGCAAAGACTTTTAAGATTTACTGATTTATGCATACAAGAACTGGGGTACAAGCAGACTAGAAGTGCAGGGAGGTGAGAGGATTCACCAGAGACAGAGTGGGGAGCAGAACAGGCAGATCTACTGAAATACACTGCTGAGGGAAACAGCAGGTGGGTCAGGAGATATCTGCCATGCCATGTGTGCCAGCTTTCTAGCTGGGAACTGAACTTGTGCTACAGTGGCTGCTGATACCTTCACAGTGCTACACTCTAACCCACTGCTCCACCAGGGAAGGCCAAACAACAAAAAATTTAAATAATATAGCTAGCTGAAAAATAAGAGTGATAAAGCAGTGAATGAACTGAAGCCATAGCCCAACTGCATTTTGGACCTAGAAACCACAGGAATTCAGCTTATGTGGGGTAAGACTAGTGGCACAATACCAGTTATTGTCCAAACCTGGACATTTTTCTTTAAGACAAATGCTAAATCAGACAGGATGGTGTAGGTAAAGATAAAAAGCATGTAAAACAGGGGCCCTCGTTGGTGGCACAGCGGGTTACGGCACAGCACTAAGAAGCTAAAGCCACTTCCACATGAGTTCGATCCCTGCCCCGGAGGTGACCACATGGCGCGGCAGACCTCTCCTGACCCGCCTGCTGCTCCCCTCAGCAGTGTACTTCAGTTGGCCTGTTCTGCTCCCCACTCTGTCTCTGGTAAATCCTTTCGCTGCCCCTGCACCTCTGACCTGTACCCCATCTCTGTATGTATGTGTCAATAAATAAATCTTAAAAAAAAAAAAAACATATAAAACAATACAGTGGTATTCAAATTTATATATCATTATGAATGAAAGTTTTAAAAGTATAAATATGAAAACACCTAATTCAGGATAATATGGCTTGAAAGGAGGGAGGGAAAGGGAATACCCAGGAGCTTTCCAAGGGATTTTGTTGTTATTAGCAGTTTCATATCTGGTGTTCTTAAAACCTTTTTATTTTAAAATAATTACATATTCATATGTGGTTACAAAGAAATAAACAGGGAAATTCTGAAGACACTTTTCTCAATCCCATCCCCACGGCACCACCTCTCACCACAATACAGTATCCTAACCAAGAAACTGATGTTGACACTTTCACAGAACTTACTGATATTTCACCATTGATGTGTATACCCACGTGTATGTGTTTGAGTTTGTGTGGGTATTTCTGTACTATTTTGTCTCATTGTGTAGCCTTGTGTAACTACTTAGCCACAACCAAGCTACTCAACTCAGACACAAGACATAAAAACTCCCTCATGTTAACCCTTAAACACTAATTTTTTTTAAAGATTTATTTATTAGTGCATACAGAACTAGGGTACAGGCCAGAGGTGCAGGGGTGGTGAGAGGATTCACCAGAGACAGAGCTGGGAGCAGAACAGACCAACTGACAAAGTACACTGCTGAGGGGAGCAGTGGGCGGGTCAGGAGAGGTCTGCCGGGCCATGTGGTCACCTCCTGGGCAGGGTTCGAACTCATGCTAAAGTGGCTTTAGCTTCTCTGTGCTATGCTTTAACCGACTGCACCTCAGGGAGGGCCCTGTAGATAATTTTTAGTTTGGCATACCTGTCAGTTCTAACCTCTATACACACTGTTTATTTAGAACTACTTTGAAATGCTGATTTATTCTGCAAACTTCCTATCATTTAATCTTTAATGTAACACCTTAACCAAAATTGAGTATGGAGTCGGTAGCAGTATTTGCTAGTAAAATGGTTATTCAGATGATCCAAAATATACTCAGAGTAATTGTTTTCTAGATAATAAAAATGGAAAAGCATAACATTTTTTTGTCATACCCAAGAATTACTGGGAATCTTAATTTATGGAACACAGCTTCTAATCCTTTAATTCCACTTGATACTCTTCTATAGAGATCATTCCAAATATGAGAATACTCGTGCAATTGTACATATAAGTAATGTGGAATTAAAATAGGAAGTAATATAAGCATTCAAAACCAGTAGGGTTTTGAAGTTAATGAAGAGTTTTTAAGGCAGGGCAATTCAGTTAGTGAAAAGTTAAGCATAAATGTACATGAATTTATGTGTTTCTGCCATACCTCATCCCACAAAGATTTGAAAGCTGCATATGTTATATGGCTGTTATTTTAGGGCTATGAGATTGGTATTTCTTCTCTAGATTTTATTATATATTCTAAGTTTTCTATAGTGAGCCAGTTGACACTCTGGAAATGAAAATATGCCTAGATTTTCCTTGAAAGGAAATAAAAAACCGCTTTTTTAAGTTGGCCAGGAAATGAGACTCCTTTGAGAAATGAACAGAATATAAGCAGACCCACATATTTCTCCTTCTCTTTGTGTATTTTATTACTATCTGTTGTCATTTGTTGTTAATATTGTAAATTTGAATTCTTACTTATTTTTATTTTTCTCCCTAGGGGAATTTTCAGGCTACTAATAAAGTATCAGCTGGATAACCAGGATAATGCTTCTTACATTGGTATTCAATATTTATATTAAATCGTGTGACTTTTGTTTTACCCCATAAATTCTAGTAATCTGGAATTAAATAGCACTGCAGTTTTTGAGGGCGTGTATTATCACATAACTAACTTTCAAGCCACCCTATAGATTATGCTGCTGATCTGTTTGCCATTGAATTGATAGGCAACCTCAGTTTCCATTAAAAATTCCTATGCTGTCTGTGGGTGTACGTCTACTTAATACACTGGGCACTTAGATGAGTCACTTCCCCTTGAACAAAAATAACATGTTAATTTGAACATTAAAAGCGCTCAGCTCTCATGGCTTACTCTAGTTTCTTCTTTAAAAGTCAGCTTTATTCACAGCGTTAAAAACTCCCCACAAGATTGTTACAGTCCCAGTTGACTAATTTCAACATGTTGGTTCTCTTAAAAAATATATAAGCCAGTGTGTGTGGTGGGGATATATATAAGTCAAGGTATAATGCCTACGTGTTCTCTAGTTTTGCTTTTTTTAGAAGTACTCATTTTTTTAAAACAATACTTAAATGCTTTGGCACACTATGGCATCAATATTTTCTGTGTTCTTTGCTGTGCATATCTCAGTAAGCATGGTGTCTTAAATGCTGTCTTAAGTTCACATCTCCTTTTGAACTCTCCAGGACTTTCTTTTCAAGATTTTTACCAGCAGTGTCGGGAGGCATTCCTTGTCAATAGTGATCTGACACTTCGGGCCCAGTTAACTGAGTTTAGGGACCACAAGCTTATAAGAACAAAGAAGGTGAGCCTTTGGTGCAAAGAAATTTATAATGCTATTTCATTTCCTTAAGGAGACAGAATAAAATCATATCTGATTATGAAAGTAAGGTTTCATGACCTTTGTGATATAATGGGTTACAAAGGCTCATTTTTAAGCAATTGCTAAAGTTCTACAGAAAAAGATAAATACTCTGCTTCAGGGCAGAACAGGAAGCTTTATAAGTTGCTGTCCAGAATAATAGGCCATTTGGAATACACTGAGTCAGACAATTCTATACCTCTTGTCCTACTTATATTAACCCAGTATTTATTGAGTTCTGTGTATCAGATATTGCACTAAGTATTAGGATACAGTAACAAGAAAAAACCTAATTCTTTCTCTCACAGAGATTAGGCTAATGGAGATGAGCATTCATTAATGTAAGCATGTAAGATTTTGTCTTGTGATCAGAAGGTACAAAGTTCTGAAAGAGTTTATTAAAATAGGTGAATGTGATCTAATTATGGATATCAAAGAGTCCAGAAGAAGGTATGAGCATTCCAGCAGTAATAGCATGGATAGAGAAAAGAAAACTAGTGGGACACAGTTTACATGCATGTAAAATATTAAGGAAATCAAATCTGTTTAACCTAAAGTAGTCAAATACTTCTCTTAGCTGCAGCTAACATTCAGGATATTCTGTCTTTCAGGGAGCTGATGGAGTGGAATATTTATTAATTCCTGTTGACAATGGAACATTGACTGATTTCCTGGAAAAGGAAGACGAGGAGTGTTGAAGTGGTCATTCATTGTTGAATCTTTGTGGAAGGGTTGTACTTGGCTGCCACTCCTCTAGTCTGAAGTGTTGTTTACATCCAATATTAGACTCTTTCCAGTGTACAAAATTTAAAATCGGGAGGGGGGAATGTCATCAGTTAGAACCTTGATTAGCCTGGCTGGTTTACCATCTCTAGTACTATGCATTGATTCTCAAGTTGAGAGAAAATGTGCCTTTCATTCATTACCTCTCCAGAGACTTCTTACAAGAATGAACAGTGTGCTCAGGGACTATTTGGAACTGGATGCTTTTCAATTATTTTATACTAGAGATGATATCCCTAACTTTTTGAGGGTCTTTTCAACACTCCTGGAGTTGATTATTTGTGAATATGCTTGTTCCAGAGTGTGGAAGTCCAAAAACATTGGCATCACATAATTGCTTTATTTGCTATTCTCTGTGTCAGAGTTCATGAGTGTAATGGAGGAATCAGATCATCTCTTATGACTTCAGAAATGGCTTAACAAAAGATGTAAGACTGGGGAAAAGGTAGGTGAACCAGCTTTCTCCTTTAGGCTACATACTGGTTGCGGGAGACATGGTTGACACTATTCAGTTGGAATAGTGAAAAAATCCTAACAAGTATAGAGGGTGTATACCCACTTTAGAAAGCACACAAATAATATTGGATCTATCATGATAATCAGAACTGTTAATACCTGTCATCACCTTCATAATACAAGGGAAAAGCCAGGCTAGAAAAATACAATCCTGAATTACACTTTAGTCATTTTCAAGACATTGGAAAATAAAAATTTATTCTTGTATATCAACATATTTTTCCTTTCTTGAATAACATACAAGTAAGTAGCATATTAATGGCTGACTAAGTTAATCTTGACTTACCATTTAGACTTAATTAAAAATACTAAGATGTTAATGTTTTTCTTAAAGTGATGATTACAAACCCAAATATTTACACAAACCTTTCTTCCTAGGAAAGAGAGAAAGGCTAGCTGTGGCCACTTGATAGCTTAGCCTTCACATATGCTTTTAAGTATTTCATACTTGGAAATGAAATTTTTCATTAAAATATCACTGTAGTAAGTATTGGACTGCATCAACATTTTTCATCATTTCATGTATCTTTGTAAATTTTTTTCATGAAAGTAATCTTCCCAAATGTTTAAGTTTCTTGAGTCATTTGTAAATAGTTAATTTATGTAAAATCCATACATTAAGAGATTAATCTTAAGTATAGTTACTAACCAAATTATTTAAACATTTATTCATGAATGTGACTTGATTTTTTTTTTTAATTGTACCAAAGGACATCGATGAAAAGTCAGTTTCTTTTCTATTCCCCAGTCAATTTCTTAGGCCACCATTGATTATCACTCCTTATCTCCTCCTAAAAACACAAGTGGTAGCATATATTTGCTGACCTGCACCTTGCTTTTTTGTCTCCCATACCTAGTTTATAACTTACAGTAAAAAAAGGTATACAAAATCTTTAACTACCTAATGTGCAAACTTTGCATTTGCTCTTTAAAAACTACTGGTTTATTTTTATAATTTTTGTGTCGATAACTATTTGCAAGTATGTGTCAACCATCTTTAATATTAATAAACAAAAAGTCAATTTGGATAGAATCATTTTAAATTTACAGCACTGATTTTTTTTTCTAAAGATTTATTTATTTATTCATACATAACTGGGGTACAGGCCAGAGATGTGGAGGGTGATAGGATTCACCAGAAACAGAGTGGGGAGCAGAACAGGTTGATAAGTACGCTGCTGAGGGGAGCAGCGGGCGGGTCAGGAGAGGTCTGCCGCGCCATGTGGTCACCTCCGGGGCAGGCAGGGATCGAACTCATACGGAAGTGGCTTTAGCTTCTTAGTGCTGTGCTTTAACCCGCTGCGCCACCAGGGAGGGCCCAGCACTGATTTTCTTTATTAAAACTCATTAAATGTTTCGGTCAGTAATTTTATAAGTACATTTTACAGATCTGATGAAGATACTGGTTAAGATTATTATATTCTCTTCATTATCTTGTTTCAGCATTTATGTTCTGTATACTCTATCAAAGTTTGACTGGTAAAGCTTCAACTTCTGCTGTTAGTTGATTCAGGCAAGACTGAACAGACCTGAAATCTTGAAAGATTTTTTCTGGTTGCTTTTAACATATGGTCAAAAAAAAAAAAAAAGGCACAGATACACAGAACAGACACACTCTTCAAACTTAATGAAATACTGAATTCCTTGTGCAGGGAGTGCTTAACTACTTTTAAAAGATTTATTTATTTATGCACATGAGAACTGGAGTACAGGCCAAATGTGGTGGGAGTGAGAGGGTTCATCAGACAGTTGGGAGCAGAACAAGAGGACCTGCTGAGATACACTACCGAGGGGGCTGAACTGAGCCACAGTGGCTGGTGATAGCTTGACAGTGCTGAGATTTCAACCCCTGTGCCACCAGGAAGCCCCTAAATAAATTTTTATCATATTCCAGAATTACTGGACTCTAAGCATCATGTTTTCTCATTTTAATATATGAACACTCCCTTCACATAAAAAGGATGTTAGTTTCTAGTAAGACTAATAAAGTCTTTTTACCCACAGCTGACACAAATGAAGCCTGAAGTTCTGTACAGACTGTATTTTCCTTCATTCCAATTGGTGAGTTTACACCTCCAGCTTAGTCCAGAGTAGTTGTCTGAGATAAGTGTCTTGATAGAGTGCTTTATCACACATGATATATAAATAACTGTTTCAGCTTTTTATAATTATTTAGGAAAGTCTCCATATTTTGATTTTTTAAAAACTATTAAACTATTTTAATGCACTTATTTAGAAGGCTCTTTGCTAGACAGAAATTGTGAAGATATAAAAATGAGATACAGGGCCCTCTCTGGCAGCACAGCAGGTTGGAGTGCTGCACTGTGCAGCTAAGTAGCAGGCCTCTCCTGTCTCTTCTGCTGCTCCCCTCAGCAGTGTATTTCATCAATCTGCCTGTTCTGCGCACCACTTTGTCTCTGGTGGATCCTCTCGCCGCCCCTGCACCTCTGGCCTGTACCCCATTTCTGTATGCATAAATAAAAAAAATTTTTAAAAATGAGAGGTTTTATTAACAATTACAGTATCCTTAACGTGTAGAGTGATGTAAATTTGAAGTACTATTATTATGGAAAATATGGCTTTTAATGTAAATACAAAGCTTGTTCTCAGATTTTTGAAACAACATTTCTGGCATTTATCACATTGGACACAATCCTTCGCAGGTATGTAGGTCACCATATTTACTTTTGCTACCCAAACTGTACTCCTTAAAAAACAGCAGCAACAGCATTTCTTGGAAGCTTAGAAATACCTGGGCCCTGCCTACTCTAGCATCAGCATTAATGTTTCTCTTAGGTCTCTAGATGTTCTTATGCATAAAAAAGTTGAAATGCAATGACATACAAATATGCAGCCAATGACTCAAAATAGCTCAGAAAACATTACAAGTGGAAATAAAAACCTTCTCAGTGATTTGGGGATATTTTTACTTATAAAGTTGGCTTGTATGCCAATATTTATTACAACAGTGTCATTCTTTAAAAAAAAACTCATTGGGAATAAATATGTCTACTAACCCTTTCTGGAACTGTGATGCCAAGGAATTAGAATTAATTCACAACCTTCAGCTCTAGGAAATCTTTATTGCTATCATAAGTCACAGCTGATCAAATAACTAATGTTCTTGATAGTCTCCTACCCCGGCCTATTTCTTCAGGAACATCTCTGACCTCATCTCTCCTGATTCCTTATTTCCACTGATAATTAGTTGAACTTTTTCAAGGTACCATCATGCTGTTCCTTTAGTTAGTGTTATCTGTTCAAGCTGGCCCACTTGAGGGAATTCCATCCCTTCACAGAAAGCCTTCCCTGTAAGCCCTCTGCATATCCTGAGCAGAGTCAAGCGTTTATTGCCTTCATCACCAAAACATTTGTCCTGTTTGTGTGTCCAGTCCACAGAAGGCAAATTAACTACAGCAGATGTCACTGAGACAGTCTGTGCTATCTCATTTTCTCTAGTGTGGTCATCACTGATAGAAGCTTCCTACTTTTTGGCTTCTGACACTGCTGCTTTCCCCCTCACCTTTCTTGGCTCGTCTTCCAAAAGAAATGCTCGGAAGCATTTTGTAAGGCATAGTTCTGCTGGATATATCTATTTACATTATTCATTTTATGACAATGTTTACTTCTTCCCTTCCCCTCCCATCACCCCTGTAGCCCCCACATTCCTCCCTCCTGATCCTTCTCTGTCCCCCTCTGCTGTAAGGCCTCTCTGGTTTTTACTTGTATTTTTTTGGTTTGTACTATAATAAAAATATCTTTTCCCCCATCTTATTTGGTTGTCTTAAATTCATCCTATAAGTGAAACCATTCAATACTTTTCTTTCTTCTGACTTATTTTACTGAGCATAATCCAAATATTTCTACAATGAATCAGTTATAGGTGACCCATCAAGAGTAATATGTAAGTTAAGATCCCAAACCCTAGGGCATAAGGTTGATAGAAAAAGAGTCATATGAAAGAAATGTAAAATTCTATGCTTTCTCATTTTAGAGAGTATTTTAAAGAATTTGCTTTTACTATTACCAAAGTAATGTTCAGCAGAGAAACTGGAAATATGTACAAAGGCATAAAAAAAACTTCTTTATACCATAAAGAGAAGAATCACAAAATGAATTTATTTTCCTTCAGAATTTCTTCTGTACTTTTATCAGTTTTCTCATCAAGGTATTTATTAAGAAGTGCTTAACGTAGGCTCTGAAGCCAGATTATCTGAATTTGTGTCCTAACTGAATTTGTTTCCTCATTTGTAAGATGGGAATAATACCTATTTACTTATTTATAAGGGTTTTATATTTATAAAAGTAGCTGGTACAGTGCACAGCATAAAACTAACAATGTACAAGCTATTACTAGTATTCTGAAAGCTAACCATCTTAATATATCGCTAGTAAAAATTACAGATGAGTTAGAGGTGAATCATAAAGTGAATGATGACCATTTATCTTTTTTTTTTTTTAAATCCTGATTTTGAAATTTAAGTAGAAAATTAGTGATCTAGGAAAAGAAATATACAAAGAGAACTTAATCACACAGGCTACTACCTAGAAATAAATGTTCTAGTTTGAAATTTTTAAACTAACCAAAGGTCAGACTTAAAATGACAAATCCATCTCAAATTAAGGAAAGGATCACTTGAGTTACTTCCCAAGAATGTTAAATAAAGCAACTTTAAATTGATCTTTCCTCTAGTTTATGAAGAATATGTACTTTCTATAATACAGCCTTATTCTTTATAGTGAGTATTTTTCTTTAGTGGTGGTTAAGGCTTTTACTTAACCACTAAACATTTAGTGAAGCAGATTAACAAGTTAGATGGTAACGTGTATTCTTGCTTATGGCATCACTGGTTTTTAACACTGTAAGTTCAGCTTTAAGCCTGTATGTGCTACGCTGGTCAGAATGTGCAGAGACACATTCTGAGACACTGAGAAGGATCCCAGCGCGACCGAGTCATGTCATGCATTCAGGGTGGGAGCCAAGTTATTTCTGGACTGTCATCCTTTCTTCCTGTATGCGTTATACCACACGAAGAGGGTCCTTGTCTGTTTCTGACAGGATAATATCAACCTTATTCTCCAAGTAAGTGCCCAGCATATCTCGAAGATCAGAAAGAAAGCCTCGTTCAGTGTTACTATGTTCACAGAGGATGACATTTATCCCTTTGGAAGCAGCATCCAGAACATCGTGATGGGACATCTCACCTGCCAACAAAAAAATAGAAAATAAGTGTTATGTTAGAATCTGTAGAATGTTGACCATAACAGCAGAAATACCAAGTTTGTGCATTCTGTATGAAGCAAGTATAAAACTGCAGAACTTTCCCTGTACATCTAGAAAGTCATATGCAGGTTTTTGCATATCCTCCAATTTAAGAGGAAACAGACCATTCCACTAAGAATTCTCAATTCTTTGTCCTTGGCACTGAAAACAGGTATCCAACCCCACATACACAATCTCTAATAATGCCAGAAGGAGCCCTATAAAAGCCCATTCAAACAATGGTTCCACAATACAATAACTAGCCACTGGTAAGTAATGGGGCTTTCAGAAAGTCTCTTATGAAAGTATTAAATAACATCCTTTGAGACAATTCTAAGTATAATTTTGGAAGACTCCTTTATGCTTTGTGAGCACCAAAATTTAGCATCAACCCTAGCCTAATTCACAAGGATAAAGTGAGCTTAAAGGTATCTAAGTTAAATACAAGGTAAGTTCCTTTGACTTAGACAATTATCTTTTGTGACTTGGGAAAACTCAACTGTTTAGAATTATTTTTAAGCACCATTTGTGAAACTGATGGCTTCTAATAACAGCAAAAATACACTGCACAATTTGGCTTGTTCATAAAAAGTATAATTTTGAAATTAGTAGAGACATAAAGGCATAAAAAATTAAGGGAACAAAGATTCTTAGAAAAAAAATTTCCCCTAAGAAATTTTCAATCTTTACCCTCCCAATATGTGTCATTTCAGGTCACTTTTATTCAAGTCACTTAAAATACCAATCTCGTAAAAGGAGAAAAAGACTCTAGGTAACTAGAGTTGGTTGGAAGCCTTGCTTTAGGGAGAAATCTGACTGCCCAGACTATGACAAATGCATTGGCTGGAAACAGCATGAAAGGGTGAAATCTCTGAAGACCCTGTAATAATAGCCAAAAGCATGAAAGAAAAAGCTGATGGAATGTCCAGTGAGGAGGAAGGAGAACCACTTTTACGGAGCAAGTGCCCCACCTGCTGGTCTCTCCAGGACATTACCCTTAAAAGACCCCATGCCAGTCAAGCTGAAAGGGTACCGAGAGCCAACAGTGGCAATAACTTGGTCCTTTAGCTGGTGGCTGAAGTTACATTCAAAGCGATGCCTCACAGGTCAGTGACACATAAAGTTAGTCCAGGTAGGATGTTTTCTATTTCCCCAGGTAAGAACATAGGAAGGCATTTAATATTTTGGAACTGCATGAATTTATCTTATGTACATTCATTTATAAAAATTATGAGGAAACAGACACCCAAATTGGAAGCCATACCACAAAGCAAATGGTCTCTATTCCAGACGCAGCATGTGATCGTGAACTACATGTAAACCAGAAAATGCATGCTACAAGTTCTGGTCAATTGAAAATATATAGGCTACATTATCAAGTATTTTAACAATTCCTAAATTTGGTCATTTTTCCATGGTTATATAAGAGAATGTTCTGTTTTTAGGAGATTTAAGCTGATGTATTTAGGCGTAAAAGGTCTATGATTACAAAATGATTTTGGGGGGCGGCCCATAAAAATATATGTATTTACATTTGCACAAACATACACACCTTGGTATCCAAGGGGAAAAAATTCCTGGACCTCTTTAGATAATAAAGTATGAGGATGCTGAAGTCCCTATATAAAATGGTGTAATTGCATATAACCTAAGTACATTCTCTCACATGCTTTAAATCATGTCTAAGTTACTTACAGTATCTACTATAATGTAAACAGTTACATTATTTGGGGAATAATGACAAGGAAAATAAAGTACGTAGATAGTTCAGTACAAGGCAACCAGCAGAGGCCTAACTACTATGTGTTTGAATTCCAGGCTGGTTGAAGGAACCCAGAGCCAGGGCTATGGAAGTGATTCGGAGTGCCGACTGTGGAGAGGGAAGGAATACACAAATCTGGTAAGACAACCATCAGTAATCCAGGGAAAAGGCACGCAGACATTCACTTTGCTATTTTTGCAACTTTTCTACGTCTGAAATTCCTTCAAAGTAAAATGTTACAATTAATTTTAAAATAGTTACTATGAAGTAAAATATATGTCACATCTATATATTGAAAGTTTATTTTAATCTGCTACAAGTTTGAGGATTAGGAAAAATTACATCTTTGTAATGATAAAAAGAGATAATGGTCATGTATATTTCTGTATTTCTGGATGTGACAATGTTTCAGTGCAGCAGCCTGCTCTGCTAGATCAGTCAAGTATGGGTGTGGGAGGCAGAGGAACCACAGTAATGGAGAGACAAGGAGGCCTCTGCTGTCTCGTCTGTTGCTCCTCTCAGCAGTGTATTTCAGTAGATCTGAAATGCTTAGGAATTAAATAAATCTGAGCATCAGTGTTGTTGTTGTTTTTTTTTAAAGTAGGCTAATAATAACTATCTCCAATTCTGGTACAGTTCCTGTTATGTCAGGTTCCAAAAACATCAGAGCCATCTATATGTGCCAGTTATTATCCTAAATGTGCTACATTTCTAACTTGTATAAAATAAACAATGTTTGGGAAAGGACAAACACACACACACTCTCTCTCTCTCTCTCTCTCTCTCTCTCTCTCTCTCTCTCTCTCTCACGCCCTCACACCTCCTCCCCTCCATGGAGGGGGGCTAGAAAAAGGATCCAAGAGCTGCCCTACCTGTGAGGTACAAGTCGGCCTCTACTCCCTGAAGAACACTGCTCCCAGAACCAGCACACAAGGCCACGACTTTGACTTGGGACTCTTCAGGAAAGAGGAAACAGGAGACCAATACTTTAAAATTTGTACCAAGAATCCTAAATGTAGTACAGATTTCACCCCTGGTCTCATCACTAGTGTATAGTATTTTTTGCTTACTAAATTAAAAAAAATAACAAAACATTGTCTTCATATAGGCAAAAGGATTCCTCTGGTATTGTGCAGGCCGCCATTCTCTGGATGCAGCAGCAACACTAGCCCAGCCAAGGCCACTGCGCAGAGCTGAGCCACAGCTGGCTCCATCGCAATGCTGTCAGGTAACAGGCAGCAGGCGGAGGCCAGCAGTATTATTTCTAGTCTTAAGTGAGGAAGCCAGCTGAGAACTAAAAGTGTTAAGAGAAATTCTATGAATAGATTTGACCCATTTTTTAATATATTTATCCTAAAAGAAGATTCTCTGAATGATAAAATAACTGTTAAGCCAAAATACAGTAAGCACTTAGCACTTAGGTTTCTGTTCTGCTTATATTTAATATCCTTTAGTACTTACAATTTCTAGAATGGATACTTCATTTATCATGACTTCGTTAATAGTACTTCAAAAGAGCGACTTTGTGTGGAGTCAGATCAGAAGGGAAATCCCACCATGTTATCCATTTTCTTTGCAAACTAACTCCCATGAGTTGTTTGATTTAATGTGGACTTTTAAATACGTTATTCCTCTCTCTGAACCTCAAAAAAAAAATTTTTTTTTACCTATAGAATAGGAATACCTACCACATATCTAGGCACAGCAGCTAGTATTTAATGTGTGCCAGTCACCGTGCCCATCTGGGTATACTATCCATTTGATATCATATGGATTATGCTATCATATCACTGATAGGTTTTACTATTATTGCAGTTTTTACAGATGAGGTAACCAGGACATAGAGAGGTTATGTAACTTGTCAAAGTTGTGCAGCAAATAAGACGGGTAAATTAGAACCTGAGGTGTTCAAAATCACACTCACAATAATTACACTCTGTTCATTGCCTTTGTATTGGAGACTCAATGCGTAGGACACTCCATTCAGTGTCAGGTTCACTGTAAAAATCTAGCAAATGTTTTGCTCACTCCTTCTGTTCCCACAAGTACTAGAAGAAGCCAAAATGTAAAGCCAAGACAGTAGCTACAAGACTCAAAGTGCAGTGGGTCACTTCACTGCTGTATTAGGCATGTGACTGTTCTGGATGGTGAGCTGAACAGAAGTAGCATGCATCATTCCCAGGTCAGAACATTCAACTGATAGCCTAAAGCTCCCCCCATATTCTCCCAGCAGCAGCAACCACTCTATAGTTAACAGGCTACCTGTGCTGATTTGAGACGAACACAGAAATGACTGAGGAATCTTGTTTGAGCCAATGAACTATGTAGCATAGCATAATCTACCCACCTTTATGGATGAAGCAAACCAGTCACCTCTCATGAGCTGCTAATATGCCTTCTATCACATAATTGAACACAACCAAGTCTTTCAACTTCTGCCCAATGTTATCAGTAGATTTACTGAACAATAAAAGGAATATATTTACCTAAGGTCCTCCCTGCCCCAAGAGCAAGGCGAATATGAGAGAGTTTTAGGTGCCTTTTGACTCGCTCAATCATGGACGCCAAGGAGACAGATTCATCCAGTGTGCATAACCGTCCCATTCCAGTGTGCAGAAGCATGGGCTGAAGAGATACAGAAATTTAGAAACAGTCCATACTCAGTACAAGAAAACAAATCTATAGAACAATGAGCAAATACTGAGATCAATAAAACACGCACACTGTGAATGTCTTACAGCAAGCTCTGAGCTAAAGTTTGGGGATGTAAATCTGACAAAAACATTTCTCTCACTTTAAGAAACTCAGAGTCTTCTGGGAAGGCAGCTGATTAAATAAATCACAATAAGGGCCCCCCCGCCCCCGGTGGCGTAGTGGGTTAAAGCACAGCATTATGAAGCTCTCCAAATCCACTGCAGCACAAATTCAATCTTTGGCCAGGGAGGTGACCTACATGGCTCAGCAGACCTCTCCTGGCCCGCCCGCTGCTCCCCTCAGCAGTGTACTTCATCAGTCTGCCTGTTCTGCTTCGCATTCTGTCTCTGGTGAACCCTCTCACCCACCACATTTCTGGCCTGTACCATAGTTCTGTAAGCATATGTAAGTAAATCTTTTTTTTTTTTTTTTAAAGATTTATTTATTTATGCATACAGAACTGGGGTACAGGCCAGAGGCTCGGGGCGGTGGGAGGCTTCACCAGAGACAGAGTGGGGAGCAGAACAGGCAGATCGACGAAGTACACTGCTGAGGGGAGCAGCGGGTGGGTCAGGAGAGGTCTGCCACACCATGTGGTCACCTCCGGGGCAGGCGGGAATCGAACTCATGCGGAAGTGGCTTTAGCTTCTCAGTGCAGTACTTTAACCCGCTGCGCCACCAGGGAGGGCCCTGTAAGTAAATCTTTTAATTAAAAAAATAATAAAATCACAATAAAAGGTGTTTAAACTCAATGTAAGTGCTATTTTTAAAAAATACTTATTTATGCATACAAGAACTGGCATGTAGGCCAGAGGTGCAGAGGGGTGCAAGGATTCACCACAGACAGAGTGGGGAGCAGAAAAGGCAGATCCACTGAAATATGCTACTGAAATATGCAGTAGGGAGGTAAGTGGTCTGCTGCGCCATGTGGGTCAGCCCCCTGGCTGGGGATCGAACCCATGCTGCAGTGGCTGTGATAACTTCATAGTGTTGTGTTTTTAACCTGTTGTGCCACCAGGGAGGGCCTGTAAGTGCTATCTTTATGGGAGCATGAAGGAATGGGATTAGGAAAGGGGAGTATTTGAAGGACGTAGAATGGAAGATTTTATGAAGACTTAGATCTTGAAATCCAGAAGGTGCAAAGAGGTGAGAGCACACCAAGGGCAGATCCAAAAGCAGACAGTATAGCTGGTGCCACAGCCAGTCACGAAGAGCTTTGTCTCCTGGAGATGTTTGCTTAGGAGATAACTCATATCCCAAAGAGGAAAGATGAAGCTCAACTACTGTGGTAGCAGAATAGAGGACAAATATTTTAGAGACTGGGTGGCAAAATCCACATGGCTTGAATTTACAGGACCAAGGGAAGAATTGTAGAAAGTTGGAAATTAAAATAGATAATGCTACCAAAGAAATAAAAAAAGAAAACTATTATTTAAAGGAATGAATAGGTGGGAGGTAAGTCAATATTTTTATGTATAGAATTTGACATACTTGTACCCAGAAAAGATGGAAATGAGGGTTTTGGTTTTTTTTTTTTTTTTTTTTTTAAAGATTTATTTACTTATGCATGCAAGAACTGAGGTGTAGGCTAGAGGTACAGGGGATGAGAGAATTCACCAGAGACAGAATATAGGGCAAAACAGGCAGATCTACTGAGATACACTGCTGAGGCGAGCAGCTGGTGAGACAGGAGAGGTCTGCTGTGCCACGTGGGTTGGTGTGGGTCAGCTCCTGGGCAGGGATTCATATAGTGCTGCAGTGGCAGCCCATAGCATTATAGTGCTGAGATATAACCTTTGTGCCACCAGGGAGGCCCCACATGTTAAATTCTAAACACCAAAGATGTTACAAGGAGGTAAGGTCTTTAGTAGCTGCTTGAGTCATGAGGGAAGGACCCAAATAAGTAGAACTAGTGCTTTATAAAAGAGTCCAGAGACCTAGCATTTCCACCAGATGAGGATACAGGTCCAGGAAGCAGGTCTCATCAGAAACCACTCTGAGTCTGCCAGTACTAAGATCTTTGGATTTTTAGCTGAAAGAACTGTGAAAAACAAGTATCTGTTGTTTCTAAGCTACTCATCTCGCATTTTGCTGCGGCAGCCCAAATACACTGAGACATGTTCCAATAATTTTGTACCCTAGGAATATCTCCCTTTCTCAATGCATTTTTTTTAATTATTTTATTTTTTTAAGATTTATTTTATTTGTGCATACAGTACTGGGGTACAGGCCAGAAATGCAGGCACAGTGAATGGATTCACCAGAGGCACAGTAGGGAGCAGAACAGGCCGACTGATGAAGTACACTGCTGAGGAGAGCAGCGGGCAGGCCAGGAGAGGTCTGCTGTGCCATGTGGTCACCTCCTTAGCAGGCGGGGATCGAACTCATGCAGAAGTGGCTTTAGCTTCTTAGTGCTGTGCTTTAACCCGCTGTGCCTCCAGAGAGGGTCTCTCAATGCATTTTTTAAGGTCTATTTCCTCCTCATCACTTTGTGCTTCCTTAGGAAACAGTTAATAGTCAATGATATAACAAGTCAAATTAATTTGCCCAACAAGAATACAAAGTAATATTACATATTTATTACCTTCTCTAGTGACAGAATTTCAGTCTTCTGATAAAGCTGTGTGTTCTGGGAAAGGAAATCTACCACCTGAATCAAAGCCTGCTGACTACAATTCAGACTAATTCGTGTTTGTTCTTCATCATCAGTCCTAGAAAGACAGTCATTTGATAAATATAAACAAAATGTATTTGAATAATCCATAGTGTGAAAACCTCCTGCAGTGGATTTGTATAGAATTGAGAATTTAATCCAAAACCAATCAATTTTTGTGGAATAGTTTTCTCAAATTTTAGCATGCCTCAACATCACTTCTTAAAATGGACTAATAGATTTATTAAACAAACACACATTAATGTTCCATTCCCTGTCCCCATGTGTCTGATTCATTAGGTCTGGGTGGGTGTGATAATTTGCCATTCTAACAAATTCTAGATGATGCTAACATTGCTGGTCCAGGGACCTCATTTTGAAACCATTGTTCTAGAATCCTAGTAATCGTCTCCTACTAGTTTCTTAAAATGACCTACAGACCCAGTGAAACAAAATATTTATGAATGGGTTTGGTAAACTGATTGTTTTAAAAGCTCTAGACAAGTCAGATATCATTAACTCCTGGACAGACTCTAAGGCAAACCCTATTTTAATGACATAGATTTAGTATAAAAGCCCAAAATATGAATTTTCAGAAGCACCATATTAACAATGATGCAGGGGCATTCTTGTGTTACATTCTGAGAAGTAATGGCCTACAGCTTCTTCACAAAGATTGCTATCAAGAAAGTTTTGTATACAACCATAAATTCTAATGTAGTTATAGAAACAAAAATCTGAAGTTGTAGCTGTTAACATTACTATCACCTGCAGAGCTCTGAAAAGGAGAACAAATAAAGCCTGGATTCCAGTTAAGAGTAAACCCCAGCTATTGTCTGTAATATGGAAAAACTAGAATCAGAACTTTCTAGAGGGATGCTTAAAGAAAATACAGCCCATCAAACATTACACAGCAGTCATACCTCTTATACCTATATAAAGATACTAAGTCATCTTCATATGTAAAAAAGGCAAAATCAGAAATACAACTTAGTTAGGAAAACAATGGACAAAACAAAACTATGCATAGCTTCATTTCCCTACAGGAGTTTGGATAGATACCCACTTCTCTGAAAACAAAGGAAAAGACAACTTGAATTGTAGACATAAAGACAGAGTAGCGGGAACATGGAGGACTTTTGTAGTAGCTAACTGCTAAAGCTTTATATAATTTTCTCCCATTTTCGGTATTTACATAGTAAAACTAACCATGATGGGAATATATGCAAAGATGTATAAATATTTTTTCTTAATGATTCTTGAAACTTCCCAGTACTATTCTAAGACATTTGCAATGATTTTACTATAATATTTAAAACCATTCATTACAGAGTTATTTTTGGTGTAATCTGAGCATTCCCTTTTATTAAAAAGTCATTAATCCTTACATTTAAAAAAAAGATTTATTTTTATTTATTTATGCATACAAGGACTACAGTGCAGGCCAGAAGTGCAGGGTGAGAGGATTCACTAAAGACAAATTAGGAAGCAGAACAGGAAGATCTGATGAAATATATAGCTGAGGGGAGCAGCGAATAAGAATAGAGCGGTCTGCTGCACCACGTGGGTCATGCTGTCCATTGCTGGCCACGGATCAGTCTCATGCTGCAGTGGTTATCGACAGCTTCATAGTGCTGACACTTAATCCCCTACCCCACCAGGGAGGCCCCAATCATTACTTTTTTAAGCAATTATTAAGCCTCAGCTTTGTGAAACTTACCTTTCATGTTGCTTTGATAGGTAATCGGGTAAATTAGCATAAAAGAAAATCTCTAAGAGATTTGAATACCTCTGATGTAAATAACAAAACAATTGACCATTGAGACACATTAATGTATTTTTCTTTCAAAGTGATTGGGGATCACTGGGTTGCTGGGAACTGATGAAAGTAAACCTGTTATCAGTATATCCCTAGGGTTTATTCATATAGCCTAATGTAGAAACAAGCTTTCAACATAACCAGGAAATTAGAAATATTTTTTTATATACTCCCTCACACATGAAAAACAGTATGTATTACACATCATGTTACTGTTTTGGAAAGATCCCACAATTCTCAAGGACCCATGTGCAAATGAGAAGAATGCTGCTTTGCAAACCTGTCCATGAGAGGTTTGTTTTCAAACTTGGGAATAGCTGGATTACAGTATTTTCAAAGTAGATCCTTAAAAGATAAATTCACACAGAAGGATAAAAATATATCATACCTAGCAGAAAAAGAAGTGACAGAAACACCTGCAATTCCTTTCACTGCAGAAATGACTTTGTCCAGGTCTTGGGTGTGGTTAACATTGAATTCTACTCTGTGAGTTCCTTCCGTGGGGCAGTTGGGAGCTTTGGATGGATGTATAGGCCTGGAGGTGCAAACTCCTAAGAAAAAAATTGGGGGGGGGGGGGGGGAGTTTTTGCGGACATATTTTTAAGACTACAAAGATAAACTATATGGGTAAAACTTAAATGAGGATTTTTTTAAAGATTCAGTCTCATTTGTTTCTATGGCATGCACACACATACATATACCTTAAATATTCATCCAACAATCCCCACAATCTAGTATGGACACACAAAATAACATTTATTTTCAGAATTACTTTCCAGAAGACCCTTAAACATCACAAAAACTTGGACAAGATGGAATGACTCGTGGATTTTTAGATGTTATATAGTATTTTGACAGCTTGTTACACTTACTTATGTAAACCATGATTCAGACTGCAAAAACTCAAAATCTACTTGACCACATCAATCCAATGAGATGATCATAGTACCTTCAGCCTGAAATGAGTAAGTAATCTAAAGAGACTTACTAAGAATAAAGGTAAAACACACACAAATTCCTTCACTATGCTTGGCACAAGTTAAGTGTTCTATCCAGTAAGCATGATGAAGTCTATTTAATTGACAGATAAAATATATTCTGGAGAGGCCTGAACTTTCAACTTAATTGAATAGCATTTCTGGAGTAGGCACTATGTCACATGAGGAATGATGAAGCTCAGTCCAGCAATGAAGACATCTATGCACTTTCTCATTAAGGATAAAAATTTCATTTTTCCTACCAGATGATTTCACTTGTAATAGGGGTATAAAGGACAAGGGGAGAAAATAATAATAATCATGAGCAACTATATACCAGAGACATTTTATAGGGGTGGAGTGGGGAATGGGATAAAAAATGGGGGTAAGGGGGAGTGCACGGGACTATGATGATGGCACAAGGGTGATTTGGTAATGGGAAGCCCATGGGAATTACAACTGAGATGGAAAAAGGCACAAAATAATGTAAAAATAAACTATTATATTATTTTAACAAATTCATTTTCCCAAATATAATCTAATTGCCAGACTTCAACACTATTTTTAAAATTATATAAAATTAAACATGCTGCTCCCTCACCTAAAACAATTAAAACTATTGGAAAGACAGTCTAAAAATTCAAAGCATTTGTGAATAAAATAATCAAGAACAAGAAGCATCTCACCAAGCCCTTTAGCCAACCAGCTGTTGACTCCCTGGGGTGCAGCATCATAGGCTGTGTGAGGAGAGTAGATGCCTACTCTGTTCTCCAGAGCCTGGATCACCAGGCGCTCCTTCCAGGTTTTCCAGGTTATGCGTTTCAGGGGTCGGAAAATAGGTGGATGGTAGGAAAGAATGAGATCTGCTTTCTTCTGCAATGCCTCCTTCATTACCTCCTCAGTCAAATCATTTGTCAGGAAGAGTGTGCTGACAGTGTGTGGTGGGCTTGGCTCCACCAGTAATCCAACATTGTCCCAACTCTCAGCAAATGACAGGGATGCAAAGTCATTCAAGGAAGAAAGAAGGGCCTTCAAATCCATGAAGGAACGGGAAGAACTGCAGATCAGGGAATGGGCAAGTTGGACTTTAGCGGGGACCAGGTGTACACGAGATGACAACATACAGAAGTCAGGTCAAACTGAGTATCTATTAAAACAGAAAATGGTACACAAGTGGATGTTAGGCCAGACCTCTGAGGCAGCAAAGCATACCGGCAAAAAGCTGTCACACATCCATGGGTCTGCCACTTAGCAGCACTAATCTTAGCTGTCATTTAGCCAACCTAAGCTTTTTTTACCATCTACAAGTTGGAGATACTATAACATGCCTCAGGCCATCCTGAGGAGCAGCTGGATTACCATGTAAGTCACTTAGCACAAGCCTTGCACATCCTTCCCCACACCTCCTGCACCCCTGCCTTTTCTTGTTCTCCCACCTGTGCTTCAATCACCCTCTTCCCTTTTCCATTTCTCAAAATATTAGTCTTCCAAGTCTCTACTTCCTCATAACAAATCTTTCTTTTCAGTGTTTCTCCCTCATGCTCACTAACCTCCCTTACTCTTGTAATGTTATATTTCTATTTGTCTATCTCACCCAGTCTGCTAAGGCTACAGAGAAAAGGAACTACCTTTCATGTATCTCAGCATGACCAATGTAAGCCAGCACTAAATGGCTACTGCAAATTTGAAGTTAGGTTGGTATACATCAGCATTAAAAAGTGATTTATCAAAAAAAAAAACCAAACAAAAAAAAAGTACTTTACCAGTAGCCAGAATTATGAGCCTTTAACTCATTGGTGTAATGAGTTAAAGCTCAGCACCGTGAAGCTAGCAAGTTCAATCCCTGCCCTGGAACTGATCCACATGGCACAGCAGACCTCTTCTGACCCGCCTGCTGCTCCCCTCAGCAGTGCAATTCCTCGATCTGCCTGTTCTGCTCCCCACTCTGTCTCTGGTGAAGCCTCTCACCAACCCTGCAACTCTGCCCTGTACCCCACCCAGTTCTGTATACATAAATAATAAATGAATCTTAAAAAAAAAAAAAAAAAGGCCAGTCTTGAAAATTCTAACCAGCTTAGTCATTCTAAGTGTAATTTAGCTTACTTTGGATCTGAACAATTTCTATACAGGCAAAATGCAGCTGTCATCCCAAGACTGTTCATCTGTGTCTGTGACACTGTCTTTTTTTCCCCCTCCTTTTCCCAAAAAGTATGTCCTTTCAAAGTATAAAATTTTTTTTTTAAAAAAGTAGCTTACTTTGCAAGACTAATTTGACTAGGGTTATTACTGACTTAGCCTCTGCAATTCATACCAAACAAACCCACACCAGAATGGTTCCCAAAATTGGTGAGGTAACAACTAATCAATGCCCAAGAAAATTCTAATACTATAACCAATCATTGCAAGGAATAGTCACTGTGTTCTCAATACATAAACTGTTTTTGTAACAATGTGTCTCTTGAGTCTCATTGCACCTTTCAGTTTGAATACTCCCGGTTAGCAAACTTTCTTTTAGGTGGATGCACAACAAACTTTATTACGCCAGTAATTCAGTTTAATTTTTGTTATATCAAAACCTTTGACAGGTGGCTCACTCTGTATGGGCAGGGTCAGGCAGGAAAAGGTCCCGCAATCAACATCTGCTCAACAAAGGCTCAAGGTGCTGGGGAGGTGAAGATGAGGCCCACTTTGCCCAGTTTCAGTCTTTTAGGCCACTTTTACATCCAAGAATATAGAAAGCCTGGCCCAAAAAGCCAGCAGGTAGGAGAATGGGAGGCGGGAATAATGGTTAGCTCCAAAATATGAAAATTACAAAATCAGAAAATATTAACTTGAATACCAGATGCACCACTGTCAACTCCATTCTTATATTTACCATCTATGAGCATTTTTTGTTTTTGAAAAAAAGTATTTCATAGTATGCACGATTAAACAGGAGAAACAGCTAATTGTAAATGTCACGAAACATAATGACACTAAAAGCAATTATTTTCAACATTTCTACAGCGAAAATACTTAATAGGAGAGAGATGTAGATGCTATTGGACACATGAAGTGATATGGACCCTCCCAAAATTCACAAAACCTACGATTTTGGAAGATCATCTAATGGTCCTCCACCACTTCCTTTAAAAAAATATTTATGTACACAGGACTGGGGTACAGGCCAGAGGTGTGCAGTAGTATGCTGAGAGGATTCACCAGAGTGGGGACCAGAGCAGGCATATCTGCTGGCGTATACTGCTGAGGGGAGCAGGGGGTGGGCCAGGAGAGGTCTGCCACACCATGTGGGTCAGCTCCCTGGCCGGGGATGGAACACGTGCTGCAGTGGCTATGGTAGCTCACTGTGCTGTGATTTAACCGGTTGCGGTACCAGGGAGGGCCCCCTCCACCACTTCTACCCGCCACAGTTCATATCCTAACTACTCCATTCTCCAGACTCCTGTAAATCTGGCCAGCACAAAAGTGAACATGAAGCTCCGGTGGGCGATCACACCAATTATGAGTTATTTATTCTCACGTCTTAGTCCTTGGAAATTGGAGAAGGGAGGACGCCTTCTATTTCTCAGATCAGCAAACTGCGAAACTGCTTAACTTGAAGCCACAAAAAACAATTGTAGGGAGGAATGTAGCAGGTGGGTAAGTGCGCCGCACGAAAAAACAGACGCTTCCCGAAGCCACAGCTCCGAAAGGGACCGACTTAATCTTGCAGTTTCCTTCCCTCCACAGCGCTCAGCTGAGGGCAGCTGAGAGATTTCCACGTAAAGCTGGGCGCAGTGGTGGACCTAGAGTCAGCACGGCGTCATCGCTAAGTGACACTCATAGGGTACACTTCACGGCAAGCCTCACCCCCTTAGGTGGCCCCATCGATCCCTCATTTCAGACCCACTTCAGGCCTTCTGCAACAACGGAAGTCCGGGCCGCTCGGTCAGTGAGTCTTTGAGCCAGAACCCCGCCTCCTAGTGCCACAGCTCTCGTACGGCCCGTTTTTGGCCCCTCTAGCATCTCCTTCGGTGGGTCTGGTACCCACAAAACATCACCGCTAGTTCGAACCAGCGACCCAGCTACCCACGCGAGAATTTAAATCGCAAAACTCACCAGTTCTGGGAACGACCCTTTGCGTAACTTCCGGTCCTGCGCGGAAGGTCTCGGCTCAGATGAAATGTGCCGGGGCGGAGGCGGCGGCCGGAAGTAGGTTTTACTGCGGCGCGCGGCGTTTGTAGAGCTGTCAGAGATCGCTGCTGGTAGCGGCGCTGGTCCCAGTCTTATAGTTGAAAGAGCTCCCCGGCGCTGTCAGAAGTGTTCCGAATGAGGGCGAACTACATTGTCTCCCTCGTTCTAGTGCTTTAGGTTTGAGATAGGCGGGTGTAGGAGAGAGCATATGAGAGGCGTTTGTCTAATGGGACCCGCGCACGACTTCCGGTGACCCAAAGAAACTATATTTCGAACTTTGAGTCGGGGGCTCGTCTGGGGCTTTAATAGCAGCTGTGCTAGCCGAAGGGGTTAAGTAAGTATGGGGCAAGGTTTATTGATCCAGAGCTCTTGGACTACTACTTCAAGTCATCATTCTGGGCGGAAGGGGCGTTGAACGACAGACTTAATAAATTAGGAAAGTACATAGTATGTCAGTGGTAAATTCTATGGAAAAGGAAATAAGGCAGGTTTAGATGGTACTAGTTATCAGGTCAGTGAGAGCTGATTTTTGAGCAGACTTACGAGTGAGGCGATTGGACGCACACGTGTTTCAGTAGAAGCATTCTAAGCAGAGAGCAAATAGTGTCTAGACCCCAGATGGAAATGAACCGCCCATGCAGAATGTCTCTGAATTATAGCTGTCTGCTTATTTATAATAGTTTTGTTGTATTGATTTTTTAATAGTTTCCTTATATTCCTCCGCTGATATTTTTCTGACTTCCTTCACTAAGCATAATCCCTTCTAATTCCATCCATATTGCTTCCAATGGCATTAGCTTATCTTAATATTGCTGAATTGTATGCCATTGTGCATATGTACCACATCTTGATCCAGTCATCTATTTTGGGGCATTTGGGTTATTTCCAAGCCTTACCTATTATAAATAGTGCTGCAATGGATCTCATCACTTCTATAACCAAATTATTGCTTGGGGGTGCTATTCACGATCATGTCTTTTAAATATGCAGTAAAGATGAATGTGTGAATTAAAAGAGGAAAAGCAACCAATTCTTTTTTCTTTTAGTAATAGAAACTCGTTCTTGAACTTTATGAGACTCTGAGAAATTAAATAATTATTTCCTGAAGCCATCCTGAAGGAAAATGGTAAGTTATATAAAATTCTTGTGACTGTTTTTCATTATAAATAATTGTAGAAATTCTATCAAGGGGAACAACTGCATGGACGTTTCAATGACAAGACAGAGAAATGATAAGCATTAGAAGCTTACTGTGTAAAATGATTCTAAACAAAACCAAAAATAAGCAAAATTACTTATCACTTCATTATTTGTTTCACTTAAAATACTCAAAATTTACATCATGGAAAAGATTGCTGACTAGGAAGGGAGATTTGGAGTAGAAATGTATAGTCAGTTCTGTTAGTTAAAAATAATTTTCTTTTTTTAATTTCAGTAACATTGGTTACAACCTTGTATGTGATTCACTGGCATAGAATCACTCCTCCATTGCACATCACTACGTGTGGTAATTTTAATTGGATCCTTTTGTTCTGGATCTAATGCAGGCAGCTAGAACTTGAAGTAAAGCAAGAGCAATGAAAATGCCCTGCCCACTCAACACAGACATATTTCTGCCCTCTTTCTTCTACTGGCTATACTCTGACTGCGGGATACTCTTATAAGAAGAGAAGAGAAAAAGAAAGACTCAGAATAGGTTTTTTCCTCCCTGGAATGCACTACAAGGAACATGCAAACTACCAACACAACAGACTAAACTAAACAAACAAAATGCAAAACCATAAGTTGTACCATGACTACCTTTGCACATTTATAGTAAATAATATCTAGAAAAAGGATCATTTTTACATTTGTTCTCTTTAAAAAAGGCTTTTTTTGGGCTATATTTCACTAAGTGTCAATAATGTTTGTGATTTATCATTAAAATCAACAATACTAGTGTCATTTTTAATTTTGTTGATGAAAGTTTTGAACTTAATTATTTCTATCATGATACTTGCTCCACAACTTTCAGCATTGATACCATTTTACCTTAATATTTGTATTTATCTTCTGGAGTTTTTTTATACTGAAACAAATTTTGAAGAAGTACAATTTACCTTTCAGAGCTGCTGTCTGGACAGGTCATTTCTGAAACTATTTATTCATCTGTTTCTGTGTTATTCAGAGAGTCATCTTTAATATATAGTCAAGAAAATAATATAGTACATAAGTCACCTGAAAAAATATTATTTGTTGTCACATCCTCTTTCCTTTTTAGTCAGTCACTTTGCATACAGATGTAGGAGATATTAAAATAGAAGTCTTCTGTGAGAGGACACCAAGAACATGTGAGGTGAGTGTCATTATGTACCTATAAAAAAAAGAGTTAATGCAATAGGATAATCATTTTGAAAGTGAATCATCTAACCAAGAAGAAAAACTATAATCATAATTTCTAGATTAATTTCTACTTGCCTTTGCTGATGTCAAAGGTGGGTCAAAGAAAGAGTTGAAGGGCCCTCCCTGGTAGTGCAAGAGGTTAAAGTGCAGCACTATGAAGCTATCTGCAGCTGCTTCAACCTGGGTTTGATCCCCCGCCAGAGAGCTGACCAACATGGTGTAGCAGACCTCTCCTGTCTCGCCTGCTGCTCCCCTCAGCAGTGTATTTCAGTAACTCTGCCTATTCTGCTCCCCACTCTGTCTCTGGTGAACCCTCTCCCCTTGCCTGCCTTGCACTTCTGGCCTGCTCCCCAGTTCTTCTATGCATAATAATCTTACCCCAAAATGACAAGAATAGAAAGAAGAATCAACTATGTATATATATATACATTCTTTCTTCAACAATTATTTATGAAAAGCTAGCTCTTGCCAGGACCTGGGAATATAGTGATGAGTATGATATGTTACTTGTGATTCCTGGAGCTTATATTCTCTATAAAGAATAGGGATTCATTTTTGAGAAAAAAGTAATTCTAGAGGATGATAAAACCCTGAAGGACGACCTCCCTGGCGGCTCGGGGGTTAAAGTCAGTGCTATCAATCTCTTACCACCAGCTACTGTGGCATAAATTCGATCCCCAGCCAGGGAACTGACCCATATGGCACAACATACCTCTCCTGTTGCACCACTGTTCCCCTCAGCAGTGAATTTCAGTCAGTTCTGCTCTCCACTCTGTCTGTGGTAAATCCTCTCACCTATACTTCTGGCCTATACCCCAGTTCTTTTATGCATAAATAAATCAATCTTTGGAAAACAAACAAGCCTTGAAGTCAATAAAGTGTTGAGATAGAGAATAATGGAGAAGGCATTATTTAAAAGAAAGAGTGAAGGCAGGCCTAGCTAAGAAGGAGTTACTTAAACTGAATATGAAAGGTAATAAGTTCTTTCAATGTAAAAAGATAAAAAAAAATAAATTCCAGGTATACAAACAGCAAGTACAAAGGCACCAAGGTGGGAAAACCTGCCTCTTTGGATGAATTTTCAGGAGGTCGATGAGGTTAATTTAACAAGCAACAGGGAAGGGTTATTACTATGTGAAAAAGGGGTAGGCCAGGTCATCAGGACTTGTTAGACTGTTCAGGATTTTGTGTTTTATCTCAAAAAGGAGGATGCCTTTAAGGGTTATAGGCAGGGAAATTACATTGTCCAAAGTGATATTTATTTATTTATTTTTAAAGATTTATTTATTTATTCACATAAGAATTGGGGGTATAGGCCAGAGGTCCAGTGGGTGAGAGGCTTCACCAGAGACAGAGTGGGGAACAGAACAAGCAGATGGACTGAAATACACTGCTGAGGGGAGCAGAGGGTGAGACAGGAGAGGTCTGCTCCGCCATGTGGGTCAGCTTCCTGGTGAGGGATCGAGCTGGTACTGCAGTGGCTACAGATAGCTTCATAGTGCTATGCTTTAACCCCTTGTGCCACCAGTGAGGGCATCCCAAAGTAATATTTAAAAGTCAGTTTAAATATATGCCTACAGTTTTCAGTAATTTACATTTTTTATTTTTTTCTTTCATGTGTTTTGCTATATCATTTCTCAATCATTATTTTTACTCTCCAGAATTTTTTGGCTCTTTGTGCCAGTAATTACTACAATGGCTGTATATTTCATAGAAATATCAAGGGTTTTATGGTTCAAACTGGAGATCCAACAGGTGAGTTATTCCATTAACATCTTGGGAGTTATGTATAGAAAAAAGTGGGAAAGGCGAAGAAGAGAAAAATAAAACCTTGTAGCATTCTTATGACTAGGCTACCTTACCATAACAAAAAAAAAATTAAGCTCTTAATCCTAAAATTGAAAAACACTGAAACATTGAATATGAAGTCTTGTTTTTTGTAGAGAGATTTTATTTTTTTGGTCTCAAGTTAAATTTTGGGAAGTAAGAATATATTACATTCTATTTGTATATAAAGAGTTGTATGATAAACTAGCCCATAAGTTTTCAAAAATAGTACCTTTTTCAACTTAGATCTTTGTTTTGATGTCTTGTGATATAGGGACAGGAAGAGGAGGTAGCAGTATCTGGGGCAAGAAGTTTGAGGATGAATATAGTGAATATCTCAAGGTATGTACCCAGCTTCAGAATTTTTTTCTTACTGCCTGTTTATAATTGGAAATATTAACACTAAATTAGAGAAAGAGAAATACAAGTTAACATTATTACTAAATAAGTATACTTTTCTGAAGTTTTTATAAATAATATAATAGAAAATATAAGTGACCATTCTGGCTTAAAATAGGTACTGGAATTTCACTGTCACATGGATCTTGATATTAAATGAGTTTAGGCTGAAAAATTCATATTGAATGACATGAATCATTGGCCCTTTTTTAGAGTAGATTGTTTGTCATATTGCCTATTACCAATTTCCAGCTTTTATCATCTGTTAGATGTTTGAATTTTTTATTTTTAGGATTTATTTTTATTTATACATATAAGAACT